TAGATATGCTTCACCGTAAAAAAGGCAAAATAGAAGATTCAGAAAAGAAAATTCACCGGCATGAAAACCACTGTCGGAAAGAATGCATGATAGAATGGCGAAGAAAGATATGGACATGCAAGGGAATTGAGAGTAATTTTCAGTCGTTTTGACTATTACAACCGCAGATATTTTCTGTAAATATTCGTAACATTTTGGCTGGATAGTGAATCAGGCTCACTATCAGAGGTATGACTGCCTTATGTATTTGTGACTTTTGCCAAAATAGTACCGTAAATTGTTTTTGGATCGACTTGGTTCTCAATAATTTGGGCTACGCGTTGCTCTGAGATTTGTTTATTGCCATCCAGAACGAGCGAAGGATCATCTGATTGAACGCATACAGACGAGGTCTTTTGTATTTCACTCGGACCAGGACAATCGCCTTTTGGTCGTTACAATGGTTGCAATTATTTGAACCGTCTGTTTGTCAGAGGTCCAAAGTTCCTGTGAGCCTCAGTAAATCATCTTTATTTTAGACCATCCCTCGTGGATGATATGCTCCGTTGATGACAGTTTTCGGGTTAAACCTTACGTAACAGCCGGAAGACTCAGCTCTTCTATACCCACATCAAACCATTTGGATTCCTGGCTCAATGCATTGCACCAGTAATTTCAGATGCAGAAACTCTAGTTCGCCTCTACCTAGATGCTGTACGTGAATCAAGTTGCAATTGAGTGACGCGTAGCCGAAATCGATACGAATCTCGAAATAACAGGCTTGATTCCTAAGATTCCATGGTACTAGATCAAGGAAATCATTTCAAAATGTACAACAAACCAAACCTCAAATATGCGGCCAAAAGCACTCAAGCAATCGAGAAACAAATAGGATATCCAAGAAGCGCCAAAAGATCGATCCCTATCTCTATCCACACCAAATTCAAATGTGCTGGGTATCGAGTCAACAGATAAACAATTGTGTGGGTGTTTGTGAGTGAGAATACGTTAATAAGCAAGCTACGCAAGAACAGTTACGTTAAATTTAATCATTTTGGGTTGGGAAGGATTTTCAAAGAATTACCATGAAATGCGGAAGCACCTTTATCGTGAAACTAACAATATCTGTCCATGCAGAGGATATAGCTTAGTCAAGGATTGAGGGCCTCCGGTTGAAACGGAACTGAGTGGGCTTTCTTACATGATGCATAAGCGCACGTGAATGGATCCATTCTGCTTGTGCCCTTTCCGTAGTTCATCTAGGAGCCTGTTCTTCTTTCCAAAATATTTCAGGAAGGTTTAGATTACCCACGATAAAGAATCTTTGGACCCTTGTAAGCACCTCTTGTAGGGTAGACATTAGCTCATTATCCTTAGCCTTCGTTGATTTTGGTGTCTTATAAATACAAAGAATGCCTATGGGTCTCAATCCAACTCCCAGGTGGCAAGCAGTAACCTGAGCATTGGGAGTGGCCAACTGCAGTGGCCACTCTCATTGGTGACAAGTAGTCCTCACAGCTTGGGGGACTCCACACCCTTGTCTCCCGCTGACTCTATGTTGTCTATTTCCAGTTTACTATTATTATTATTATTATTACTTATTTCAACCCAGGACCACATCTTCACTCTTGAGCCAAGTCTCAGTGACGGCAATGACATCTGTGTCTGCCGACCTAGTATTTGGCTTCCCCCATTTACCCCGAAGGCTGCATGCACTGGTATACCGGATAGCAGCATCGAGTTGGTTGAGCTATTTCTGCTCAGGCCGCTTCTTGTTGGGATGCCCTTAGGTGTACGAACCGAGGGAGAGTCGCTTTGTGTGCTTCAAGGGAAGCTGATTCCTGAACCACTTTCAGATCTTTTTGCAATTCTAATGTCCTCCACGCTTAGGCCGTACTTCGTCCAATCATTGGTGGCAGCCGGAGACAGTCTTCTTCAGTGCATCTTGCAGCGGCAGCCTCAGCATTATCATCGACTTATTTGCAAGAACAGTTTTCCGGCTGGCCAAATTAGGGCTTTCAGTGTTTGAACATATTTTTGCTACCGAGCTGGGTACACTAAGCGAAGCGTTGTTTTTAGCAGTCTCCATCGTGGGCTTGCTCTTTTTTGTCAAATGGAGCCGTCGCAGCATATCAACTAATCTATTCTTTTGGGGCATTTTTTCGAACGGTAGGAGTAATTCTTTGGCGTCTTGGGCTCAGTTTCCTCATCCCCGGCTCTCTTTGAATGTTAGATGCAGAGCTAACTAACGGAAACCTATCTGCTCATTGTACCTGTAGGATTGATCTTGTTGTTAGTGCGTTTAATGGCAACCAAGCTGCCTTTTTCACCAGCCACTGATGGTGTTTGTTTTCCCGTGTCAGCTGTGACCCTGGATGCCTCAATGTCTGAATCAAGCACCACCCTCACACGATCACCTGTGATTAAATCCACCTTCACTGCACTCGCGAGTACGGCTTCTCTGAGATACATACTCGAGAAAGCCACCAACAGCGACCTTGGACCTACCGCCTTAACGCCTTTCCATAAGCTAATGAGGCGGCACTCAACAAATGGAGTACTTGCAATCATTCCAATAATCCTGAAGATGTCCTGGAGGCACCACCTATTTGATTCTATCCTCATCTTGCGTTCGCGGCTATAAGGTTCTCAAAAATTGTGGAAGACAATATTTCCCGTCATACCAAAAATCATTTAAGTAGAATTCTTGACCATGTTCCCTTTCATGTACTTCCATCTGTGAAATGAGTAGTGCAATCTCTCTGGACGCTTTAGGTTCCTTTTCCGCATTCTGGCCCCCTGGCAGTTTCAACTTTGTCCTACCAATCCAGTCGGTTAGATACCGGTACTTTCTTTAACCATATTGTATTTTAAGTATTTGTTTCTTTTTAGGCGTCTTATGGATAAACCCTCAACAGAAACAATACTCTAGCGTAAACGCCTCACGGAAATCACACACTCACTTCAGGTCTATAATCTGAATGTGGATAAGGTAATACTCCTTGTCTGAAGTCTTGAAGTTTTGAAGTATTACACGGGTGCGAGGCTAGGCTCAATGGTCCCGGATCTTAATCGTTTCCAAGGTTTCTTCTGGGGGCGGATGTTAGGTAGTTAGAGTGAGTCCGCGTCCTGTTTGTACAAGAAGGTCACCTGAAATGAGGTAAGAGGAGGGGAGAGGGGTGCAGTATCTGCATGCAGTGCAAGAAATCAGGAAGTACAGGAAAAAACACTGAACATGATATGAATAACGCTATGAGGCAGGGAGATGTTTACGGTTTATGGATTAGACCAAGATGCAGGTATAGATTCCTTTTGAAAGCGAATCTTGTGGGGGCATTAACTACTTTTTCGGGGAGGCTATTCCAAAGCGGAATGACCCTGTGGGTGAAAGAGCACTGACGGACTAGTGTACGGGCGCGCGGTTGGAAGAGTTGCATGCTATGCTCACGAAGATTGTCCGTACTAGTGCGCACAAACAAGACATCAACCATGCCGAAATTGAAGAGATTGTACAATAGGAAGATGCCATCTTTTATCCGGCGGGTTTCAAGGGGTACAGGTTCAAGATGGAAAGGCGTTTAGGGTAAGGGATGGGGGACAAGCCATGCACAAGTTTTGTCGCCCTCCGTTGTGCACTTTCCAGGGCCGTACAATCGCACACCAAGCGGGAATGAGCAATTTGACTCCCGTATTCCAATAAGGATCGGACGTACGTGCTATATAGAAGCTGAAAGTCTTCTCTATCTATTATGGGAAAAGAACGTCTTAGGAAGTTGACCTGTCCTGAATTTGACCGCGCGCGGTTGAAAATCTGTCGTGGATCGATAAGTTTGCTTTTTTACGTTTCATAAGTGTTTTTCTGTACATCTTTGCTTATATCCTTAATTGTGGCCACCCTAGGCTAACTCTATTCCACCTTATTCCGTTGCGATTTATATTTTATTAGTACCATTACTCTTTAACTATGTATTCTGAGCTCGCTGAGTCCTCCGACGAAGACACTTTACCCATGCGGGAAATCCCCATACTACATGAGGTGGCTGAAACCAGCGACTGGGCTAGAACTCAAATAGCGCTAGAAGCGGCTCTAGTCACCCTTGACCTGCAAAATTCGATTATACACAAACTGCGTGAAAAAGTCTACACACTAGATAACGATTTAAGTCACCTGACAGCGTTATTTAAAGATAACTTCCCAGCATGTGCTGCCGCAGGCCAGGCGATCGCACTATCGAAGCAACAGATATTCGAAACTGCAGCCAAACTAGAATCAGCGGCCAAATCTAAAAAGACAAAGGTGGGCATCCTTATCACCTTTAACTCGGAATCACCCGTAGCAGACGCTCTCGCCCAAACCGAGACCCTGAAAAGGACATGCAACCTTGTGTCCGTCCGGGGAGTTTACCCAGACAAGCCACTGCACACCCGAACTCAGCGGAAGAAAGCCCTCAAAAGAAACAATGATGCCAGCGATACCAAACTCCGCTGTCTGCCGGTGATCCCCTCTCGCGCATTGACCACCAAGCGACGACATCCTTCTCACCTCCCAAGGCACGAAAATCTCCCAGGGCCTCAGTGACATCCGCGGTGCGACCTATGCAGCCCCCTACAGCTTCGACACTAAGGCCCCACACCCCGCCG